CACCGGGATGGAAGTCGGAGAAAGCAGTGGCATTGGCCACAATGCCGAGAAGAAAAATGATGTTGCTTGATGTTTTTAAAACGCTTTTATCTTTACGTTTTCAGATTGTCGTATTTTAAGTATGTAGTCGAGGTGCCAGTATGTTGGCATCCTTAGTAGGAAATATATAATTTTGAACATTCCCGACTTAATAAGTATATGAATATGATGTATTCGCGTAATTTTTACTTTTTGTGTATATTTGCTGTGCGAATGTCAGCAATTTTTTGGGTCAAGTGTACTGACCACGGTGCGTACATAAAATATACCCTTTAACTCGGCTAAAAAGATAAATCTGAGTTGTAGGCTTTTTAATAAAAAAGAATTTCCGAGTTCCACGTTGACCTCTTTTTTAATGAATTCGGCTAATATTGTAAGTCAATATGCAAACTTACTTATGAATTTGCAAGACTTAAACACATTCTGAAGCGAATAAATTTCACCCGGCTCCTTCAATTCGAACGGCCTCTGTACCTGCAGAACCCTACACCGGGGGTGGCCCCGGCGTCAGGCCTCCGATGCCTAAGTCAGTCCTCATATCAAGAGAGAGAGTGTGTAGTAATCAATGAATAGAGGATGAGAGAATGAGGTACCTTGGCCCCTTTTTATAGGGAGAGTGTACCTTTTGGGCACAAGTTGTGCTTGACCCCTATCGTTGGGCTTAGATGTCTTAGTGGGCTTATCCTCCCGTATGTATTGGCTTAATCCATAAACTGGGTCCAGTATAATAGCCTATATCATCTAGTCCCTCCCACTCTGGTCGAGTAAGCATGACTCGATCCACGAGTGAAAATTCCTCTTTGGATTGTTTCCGTCGACCTGCCACTGAGGTTACCATTTGAATAACTCCTCGGCCACCAAATAGTTATCAATCCTCCAAGTGAGCATCGGGACCCCAAATGAACACCGAATGACCACCAATATCAAAAATCGAGTGACCCACCACTAGGGTCGAACACCGAGAATCGAGAGACCGTTTAGGTCGAAAATCAAGCATCGAGAGACCGTTGAGGTCAAACGCCGACAATCAAGAATCGAGAGACCTTTGAGGTCGAAAATCGAAAATCGAGCATCGAGATACCATCCTCTGAGGTCGAATGCCGAGAATCAAGAATCGAAAGACCTGCCTCTGAGGTCGAACGCCGAGAATCAAGAATCGAGAGACCTGCCTCTGAGGTCGAACGCCGAGAATAAAGAATCGAGAGACCTGCCTCTGAGGTCGAACGCTGAGAATCGAGAATCGAGAATCGAAAGACCGAAAATCGAGCATCGAGAATCGAAAGACCAAAAATTGAGCATCGAGAGACTGTTGAGGTCGAAAAACAAGAACTGAATGTTTGATATATTGCCCAAACAATTCTTCAATTAATTATGGGCAAAAAGAAGGGTACCCAAGCTGAACCAACTAAGAAGCAAAAAGCGGGCGAATCCTCGTCCCGAGATGCCCCTTCGAAAGGTGAACAGAGGGACCTTCGGCAAAAATACGGCTCTCCATTCTTGATTTTTTTCACGAAAGGAGGGGGAAATATATTCCCGTCTCTCGAAAAAAGAGCTGGTGAGGCCTAAGGCGGTGGATTGGAACCTTTTGAACGACTTGGGAATTCTTAGTGATGTGTTGAAGTACTTGAAGGTCCTGAACCTGACCGAATATGCCAAGGTCGAGGAGCGTTCTTATAGAAGTCTTATGCTCGAGTTCTATAGCTCATTCGTGCTCCCCGATGGGAATGAGTACTTCACTTGCCGGCTATGGGATAAGGCATTGAGGGTGGACAATGCCGTGATGAAGAAAGTTTTCGGGTTCACTTTGGCCAGCACAAGAAGCAAGGCAATCGAGTTCGACGCGAAGAAGAGTTGGGTCGAGCTTTCACCGCACATGACTTGGGACTCCGCCGGCATGTCAAACGGGCTCATCCAGGACTTGGCCACAGCCGTCGTGCACAGGTTCATAAGCTACAACATTTTTGGGAAAAAGGAGGCGAATAAGGTGAGTGAGGTCGAGCTTTACCTCCTCTGGGCAATGCGTGCGGGAGTGCAAGTGTGTTCTATGACCTTTTTGCAGAACACCTTGCAAGAGATTGCACTCAATCAATGGTGAATTCCGTCACTTGGGCATGTGGTGACCGCTCTTGCCAAACACTTCAAAATCCCTACACAAGCCCCTAATGTCGACGTGACGTGGTCGGTAGAAGGCACCCCGATGCGGTGTATCAACGAGCATGAGCTAAAACAGTCTGACCTTATCACGAACCGGACCACCATTCAGGAGTACACGAATCGTAATGCTTATAAGGCCTACTTTAAAAAGCTCCAGAAGAGTGCACCTAATTCCGATCAGGCGGGGTCATCTCAGCAGCCGACAGAGGGGGAGCAGATGAATGTCGACGGCGCCCATTTCCTCCCACCTCCATCCACGTGGACATCCGCCCCGCACCAACAGCCCGAAGCTCCTCCACAGCCCGAAGCTCCTCCACAACAGCCACCGGGATGGTGGAACTCTTTCTAGACTCAGTATACGGCCGACATCCGCTCTATTAACGGCAGATTTGATGCTCAAGATAGTAGGTTGGCCACCATCGAGAACCGTAAGAGCACACAGCGGGCCAGCTGGGAGACCAAACAGAAGAGTCAGTGGGACCATTGGGGATCCAGCAGAACAGTCAGTGGGACCATTTGGGGACCCAACAGCAGACCCACTGGACTCAGGTAGGTACGCACTTCGATAGCCTCGCTGACGGTCTCCGGTCTATTCACGAGCTGCAGGACCAGCAGGATGCTCGGCTGGACAGCTGGGATCAGAGGTTCACCCAGTCGGACACCCGTTGGACCTCGGGACCCAGTCAGCCATACCTCTCTCTGCCACTACCACCTTCGGATGCACAATGAATTCTTACTGTGATTTGAATATTGTTCGCACATTTTCATTATGTTCTATCCTAGGTTTTGAAAGTTGTTCGCATTTTTGAACTTTAGAACATCTTTTTCGGATTGTTATTTTCGGATTCCTTTTGCACTCGGATTATAACTTTGAACCTTTGTATTAATCGTAAGCTTCTATTTGCATTTTATTCATGCATGTCATGGCTTTGTTTAACTAAATTATCTCAAGAAACAGTTTCTTGCTCAAGAAACGGGTTTCTTGCTCAAGAAACGAGTTTCTTGAGCAAGAAATGGGTTTCTTGAGCAAGAAACTGATTTCTTTAATATAAATGTTTGTGTTGAGATCGCTAAGAGTAACTGAATTCTCTATCTAGGGTTAGATGATTGTCGTTCGGGTTTGAAGTTTGCGCCATTTAGTTACTCTTAGCGATCTCAACACAAACATTTATATTAAAGAAACAGGTTTCTTGCTCAAGAAACGGGTTTCTTGAGCAAGAAATGGGTTTTTTTTAATATAAATGTTAGTGTTGAGATCGCTAAGAGTAACTAAATTCTCTATCTAGGGTTAGATGATAGTCGTTCGGGTTTGAAGTTTGCTCCATGTTGTTTCTTGTGTAGAAAGCTGGTTTCTTGAGCAAGAAACCAGTTTCTTGCTCAAGAAACGGGTTTCTTGCTCAAGAAACGGGTTTCTTGAGCAAGAAACTGGTTTTGAAGTTTGCAAACTGGTTTTGAGACCAATTCATCGCCGCAGCCACGGCGAAGAAATTTTCCGCGGCCGTGACAGGCTCTCACGGTCGTGAGAGTTCTCCGAGGCCCAGAGATCTTTATTGCTAAACTTCATATCTGGGACCCAATATTTACTCACTGCGGCCGCGGCTATGAAATGCTCCGCGGCCATAACATGCTTCCGCGGCCGCTAGAGGTCTTCGAGGCCGCGAGATTTTATTGCAGAACTGGATATTCGAGACCCAACATTTACTCGCCACGGCCGCGGCTATGGAAATCCCCGCGGCCGCGACCAGTAATTTTTTTCTTCTTTTTTTTTTTGTGTTTCATTCAAATTTTTTGGGACTTCACACACTTCACTTCAATTTTCATTCATCTTAAAAATACCTAAAACAAACATAACAAAACTACACACATCAATATGTCCCACAAAGTTATTACATTAACCACACACAAATCAGTCATACAAATAACAACCCAATTATGTCTTGCCACAAAGAAAACATTCATTTACGATCAATAAAAAACAACATATAAATGGAAAAAAAAGCATATAAATTAGGTAATGTTTTGAGGACACTTGTTCCTACGGTGGCCAGGTTGCTTACATTTACCACACAAACGAACTTTGGTAGCGGGACGTCCAAATTGAATTGGTTGCTCAACATTTTGGACTAAGGCAACACAAGTTGTAGAGTAATGCCCACTTTCGTGGCATCGTGTACAAAATGATTTACTTCGAGAGCTCGAAGAAGTGCCAGTAGAAGGTATACGGTTTGACCTCGGTCTTCCGGTTGCTTGGGATTAATAGGGCATTTGACAACCATCAAACTAGGTGTTGTAGTTAAGTCCCAAGTACTTGGATGCGCAATTGGCATGATTATGGGCTCGTAAAGTTTGTGCCATGTTGTGGTCTTGTAGTAGTCGTGCACATAAACATACACCGATTCATTTGTCTTCCTAAAAATGGTACATGCATAGAAAACAAAATAATGGAACACAATATAAAATTTTTCTATGTGTTCTAACAATATGTATGTAAATGTTGAGGCTTTTATTAAATAAAAAAAAAAGAATGAAAAAATTACCCGATAGCCTTAATCGCATATGAACAGGGCAATAAATCCACCTGAAAGAGATAACAAGTGCATGTCTGGTCATTCAAATTGACGACAAAATTCTTGACCTCGTCCTTCACGTGGTAAACGTAGTGATTGATATTTGAAGCTTCCATTTGGTCTGCTGTAGTTTTATAATCCATTGAACGCTTAAATATTGATGGAGGAACTTCACACTCAGTCTTTTCTGTCTTGACACGTCTTTTGTGAAACCACTCTTGCATAATGTTTCGAATACATTCAAACAATGAGCAAACAGGAAATTTCCTTGCCCAACGCAACCTATTGTTAAGCACCTCACAAGCATTTGACGTCATGAAACTATATCGTCTCACAAGACATTGACTTCGTGCCCACCTTGTTGAAATGGCTTCATCAATCACAACCTTTTTTGTGTTAGGATATTTTGCCGCAAGCATGGCCATCGACCTTTTGTACACAACGGGAGAATAAGTGTATGAAGCTTTCATATATAAACCAACAGCTTTAGACCCGTGACTTCGAATATTTTGTCGAAGGTGGTAGGAACATATGGCATGTACGGCTTCAGGGTAGACAACCTCCATAGCAGACTTTATGCTCGGGTGGCAATCAGAAACAATTACTAAATTTTTCGGACATTCAAAAGTGGAGCGAAGCTTTTGGAGAAACCACATCCACAAACTATGACATTCCTTATCGACGATACCAAATGCCAAAGGGAAAATTTGTTCATTTCCGTCCTTTGTAGTTGCTACAAATAAGATGCCTTTATACTTACCCTTCAAATGCGTACCGTCAATAACAATAACGGGCCGACAATAACTGAGGAAGCCTGCAGACGCATGAAAAGAAATAAAAGCATACTCAAACACGTCATCTTTATCGGTCTCAATGTATGCCGATGTTCCAGGATTTTCCTTCATCGACATATGAAAATACGCCGGCAAAAGTTCCCAGGATTTCTTGTGATCTCCATATATGAAGTCGTAGGCGGCGTTTTGAGACCTTAGAGTTGTATCGTATTTTAGCTTAATGCCATGATCACGCTCCATGTCACCCATAATCTTTGCAGGCTTTAATACTCGGCCCTCTGTCAACAACTTCGACGCGAATAATGCTCCAATGATCTTTGCAGGCAATTGTCGAGGGGCTGAATGATTTAGGTTAACTGAGCATGTATGTGGATGGATAAATTTTGAAATTTTCCAACTACCTCCAGTCAGTGCATTTGCAGAAAGCAAGAATGGGCAATTTTTATGCTTGCACACAACCTTTAACCGAGAATTTGAAGATCTCGGTGTTCAGAACTCCACTTTATGCTTCAAATGGTATAAACCCACTTTTACCAACAAGTCTTCCTTACTTTCAATGACAACGCCTTTGGCTAATTCACGGTCTATCATTGACGGCTCTTCAGACGAAGGATGAACATCAACATTGTGAAAATTGGCTTCGGGAATCCTCCAACCGCTACTCGAACGAGTAGCGATTTCATTCAAATCATCCTCTTCAATAGCAACCCCTCCAGAAAGGTCAAGTCGAGGAACATTGTGGATCACTATACTCTTCTTGTTGCGTAGAATATGCTCATTTAAACCACCCATCATGTTTGAGGGGGACACAACATTGTCGTCGATATCTTCATCTTTTTCAATTATGAAGTCCGGATCATCAATGTTATCATCCATCTCATTTAGGAGATCATCATTGCAAGGATTATCGTTCATGTTCGTCTCATTATTGTAAGGATCACAAAATTGCTCATTATCATCACCTTCATCATCAACTTCATCATCACCTTCATCATTACCTTCATCATCAACTTCATCATCACCTCCATCATCAAATTCATCATCAACTTCATCATCATGACCTTCACCATCACCTTCATCATTCCCAGTTGAATACCCATTGAACCCGCTATCCACACCCCAATCGACATGTTCGGGAGAATGTCGTGAGGCACCGGGTTGATTTGATTCTACCCTTTTAGAGGTGTCAGGCCACATGTGGTCATTGTTCACCGGATTAGATGTTGATGGTTGACTCATTATAGGTGGATACACAGCACCATATGGATAGAGAGGTGGGCCCTGAGCAGCAAATAAATGCATAAACCCACCTGGATAGCCATACAAAGGGTATATTGGTACACTCGCCTGAGTATACGGACTTGGACTACGTTTTGGCTGTAATGTGACATAGATGGTAGGTATTGTGAACATAGCAGACACATTTCGCATATCTGATTCACAAAAGATACGCCATTTCTCCACCTCTCTGTTATCACCGGCCACTAAAAAGTGAAATCGATAGTCGCACATGTTTCTATCTCCACGAACAATGTCATGAACCCTATTCATGAAAGCTTCGTATGATGACGTCCTAAGACATAAAAAATTCATTTCTGTCTCTCCATTTTTGTACACATTCCCATCCCAAAAACCACTGTGAAAAATTCGCACTTTACCAACGTCCATATAAAAAAATTAAATAAATAAAAAAAATCTTAATAAAAAATTCATAAACAGTTTCTTACGAGCAAAGTTAGTTGAGCAAAAAATATGTTACATCTTGTTCAAGAAACCGTTTGATGCTAAAGAAACCAGTTTCTTGACATGAAACGGGTTTCTTGTCAAGAAACTAGTTTCTTGTTCAAGATACCTGTTTGATGCTCAAGAAACGGGTTTCTTGTCAAGAAATTGGTTTCTTGTTCAAGAAACCTGTTTCTTGAGCATCAAATAGGTTTCTTGCTCAAGAAACTGCGTGTTGAACCAGAAGAAAATGTTTCTTGTCCTTTCTTGTTCAAGAAACCATTTTTTGTTCACATAAATTGTCTATTCTTCAATAAGCGATTCTTCAACTCCTAAAACTCCAAAAAAATGGCTCAAGAAACTGTACAACAAAAGTAATGAACTCTAACACACGACCCCTCCTTTTCAAGCACAAAAAATCAATTTTTTTTAACTCTAAATAAATATTATTTCAACAAAATAAAATGGTGCAACACAAATCAATAATGTTGGAAACAAAAATATAAAAATCTATTTCTAATTCTTTTTATTTAACATAATTAAAAAAAATTAGGTTTAGGTCAACGTACCTTTTTTCTTCTCAAAAAGGGATTCACTTGATGTGTTGGAGATGATTTTTGTTCCAGATGATTCACTTACGTGAATTTTGGGAAGATGAAAATTTTCTTTTTTTTTTTTTACAGGGGACGCGACGGACGCGAGCAGAAAGAAGAGGAGAGAAGGAAGACAGAAAGAAGAGAGGAGGAAGGGAGAAAAGGGGCTGCGTGCTTTTTTCAACTTTTTCAGAATTTTTTTTTTAATATCTTTGGTAGGTAAATAATAAGTAACGGTAGAATTGTACTTTTAAGTGCTAAAATGGCTAGATTTCATTGTTTTACAAAAAGTGGCCATATTTCATTTTTTACTTCAAAAAGTGGCTAGAAAACTGTGCCACTGCACAGATATTGCTGAAGCTTTTGTGGTGCTGGATGAAAGTTGTGCTAGAAAAATCATTAAAACTCATTTATTTGGGTCTAAATTAATATAATTAACATACTATAAAACTAAATACATATATAGAATAAAAGGAGGTAGGCAAAATCTATTAATATATAATAAGGATTAACTTAATTCAATTTTAGAAACTATTTCTCGCCAAATTCATTAAATAAAGCCTGAAAATAGTAAATTAACATAATTCCCAAAAATTGCTCTTAATTATTTCCGATTAACATAAATTTTTTTATGGAATAAATCATTTACGCCATTATTTCCGATTTTTATTTATGGAACAAATCATTTTGTGGCTCCATTAAGAAAACAACGAGCAGTAATTGCACATAATTTCCTAAAATTGCTCTTATTTATTTCGGATTAACATTAATTGTTTATGGAATAAATCATTTTTTCACGCCAATATTTATGATTTTTTGTGGCTCTATTAACAAAACAACAAGCATTAATTGCAGATACTATGGAATAAATCTCCTCTTTTTAATTGTTCATATAAATCTTCTCTTTCAAGGCTCCATATAAATCATTTATATGATAAAACCTTAACAATCTTTCCATGTAAATAATTTTCAACAATCACTCTTTTCGGTACTAACGTGCTAAACAACAATTTGTATAAAAGGATATTCACTACCACGATTATCTCTTCACTTCATTCACAGCGTTCAGAGAAAAAAAAAATTATATAGATAAATTTTAGAATACATCGATAATATAATGCCGCTGGTCTGGGATACACTCGATTCCGTGAGTAGGACAAACAAACCTTATTTGTGATTGAAAGCTGTCCGAATAATTGAAACGCATCACGAACGGGAGAGCTGGTACGCATTCCATATACTGTTTCATGATGAACAGGTAAAATTTTTCATTAGTAATATCAAAATTATTTCTAATATATTTATATTATGAATTTCATTGTTCTTCCATGTCTTTGAAGGTTATTATTTCTAATATATTTATTGTTTTATTAATTTTATTATGTTTTATTGTCATTCCATGTCGTTGAATTATGAATTTTAGTGTTATTATATTTATTATCGTGATACTACATCTCTCATTCGTTTGGGTTAAGTAATATTTACACGCTTGAATTATTGAGTTCCAATTGTTGTTTAAAATAAAATATCGAATTCTTTTTTTCTTTTATGCGTTTATAAAAATTAAGCTTAATCAATTAATCTACTAATTAAATAATATAATAATACATTTGGGAGATTCATTTCAATAATTTTTTTTTTTATAAATTAATTAATTGTGTTTCTATAAATTGTGTTTCTATAATCAATTAATATTTTATGCGTGTATAAATTTTTGTTTCTATAATAAATTTGATTAATTAACTGTGT